TAGCTATATACTGAGAGATCCTCGTAGGCCATACAAACCTATAGTAGATATGCCTTCATACACTTAACACCCCCTTCAAACTCATAAGTGGAAATGGAGGATTTGAAGCATTGATTTTGATCAAGTGAAGTCAATGCTGCTCTCAAGTCTGTGCTTTGGAGGAAAAGTCAGCCAACTGCAACTCTAAGGGCACATATTGAAGAGCAATGGTTTTCTAATGACAATAAGATCGAGTAAAGAAGCCATTGACACTAATATGCTTTGTTAGTTCATGCTTGACTAGATCATTAGCAATTTGTATTATCACAGAGCAAAGGTGTGGCGAGTGGCGACATCACAAGAAATACCAAAATCAGCCAACAATCTAGGGGTAGCTCCGTTGAAGACACAATCGTTTCAATGTTTCCAGATGGTCCAGGCTCCTAGGATAATGAGGGAATTCAGTCCCTTTCGCGCATCTTCGCTTACTGTCAAGACCGCCTTGTCCCACCAATCATCAAAGGAGGAAACATCTGGCTGCGGGGCTAGTGCTGCCAGTCCGATGCTATGTAGGATGTCATACCAGAATTGTCTTGTGAACCCACACCCAATGAGAAGGTGCTGGATATTCTCTTCTTCCTGATCACATAGCAGACAACGGTCCGGGTGAGGAAGACCTCTTCGAGCCAACCTGTCTGCTGTCTAGCAGCGATTGTGAGCAACCAGCCACATGAAAAAACGGCACTTAGGGGGCGCCCAAGATTTCCAGATGCGCTCATATGGGGCGAAACTGAGGGCTCCCTCAAAAAGTGCATCATAGGCTGATTTAGCTGTATATTTACCTGAGGTGGAAAGCCTCCAAATATGCCTATCAGGGATCCCCTCCTATAAAATTATATCCTCTAGCATATCCCATAACTCAAGATATTCCATTAAAGCTTGCACAGGTATTTCCCCCTGGATATCTTCTGTCCATTTCATCTCATCAAGAGCAGTCATCACAGTGCGTCTACTTGCCCTTCTTTTTGGTACTAGAACATATAGATTGGGTGCAAGATCCTGAATGCTCTTACCAGCCAACCATTTATCCTTCCAAAGAAGGGTATTGGCACCATCACCAATTTCAGTAATAATGGCCAGAGAGAGGAGGCATTCAGCATCCTTGCTAACTTGCAGTGGCAAACTTGCCCAGGGTTTATTAGGTTCAGACTTTTACAGCCATGGCCATCTCACTCTTAGTGCAATACTTAGAGATTTCATATCAGAAATTCCGAGCCCACCTAGCTCCTTTGCTCGACAAACCTTGGGCCACGCGATGAGACAATGTCCACCTTTTGCTTCCTTGCGTCCTCTCCACACGAACCCTCTTCTGATTTTATCAATGGCCTTAATTGCCCAGGGAGGTAGATCAATTGCCATGGCTAGATAGATCAGCATGGCTGTCAAGGCATATTGCACTTGCACTACCCTACCAGCCCGTGTCATCAAGTCTGCCTTCCAACACGGTAATTGATCTGCGATTCTATCAATCATTGGTTGGAATTGTTCCTTCGTTAGTTTGCTGAGAGACCAGGGCAAACCCAAATACTTGCATGGAAAATTGATGATTTCACAAGGCAGTAAGCTCTGTATCACAGCCATATCATCATCCGAACACTGAATTGGCATCACACTACTCTTCTGAACGTTGGTCCTGAGCCCCGACGCATCCCCAAAAAGATGGAGCATGCTTAGAGTCAAAGAGATGTCCTCTGCAGCCGGTCTGAGAAAAAGGGCCACATCATCCACGTAGAGGGAAATTCTATGCTGAATTGGTCTTCTAGATAGGGGCTGCAGCAGCCCTGCCTCAGAAGCCCTTGTAACCATCCAATTTAATACATCCATGACCAGAATAAAAAGCATCGGAGAGAGGGGATCCCCTTGACGAAGTCCTCTTCTATGTTGGATGAAATCTCCAGGGATACCATTAAGGAGTACCTGAGTGGAGGAACATACCAATAGGCCACACAGAATGTCTCGCCATCTCGAGCCAAAACTCATTTTATCAAGAACCTCTAGGAGGAATGACCAAGATACCGAATCAAAAGCCTTAGTAATGTCCAGTTTAAGTAGTATTCTAGGCTGCTTTTGGGAGTGCAATAATCTCGCAGTCTGCTGGACCAACATAAAGTTATCTTGTATAAACCGTTTTTTAATAAAAGCACTTTGATTGGGGGAGACCATCTGATCAAGGTGACTTGCCAATCTGTTTGCAAGCATTTTAGTCACCAACTTAGCGAAACTGTGAACCAAACTAATGGGCCTGAAATCCTTCACCTGATCAGCCTCTGTCTTCTTTGGGATTAATGTGATATATGCTGAATTTAGCATCCAGAGGTTTCTGAAATTTTTTCTCCAAACAGCCTGCAGGGCATCCATGAGATCGCCCTTGATCACCGCCCAGCAAGTTTTATAAAACTTTCCAGTAAATCCATCAGGGCCCGAAGCTTTATCTGATGGTAGATTTTTAATAGTGTTCCAAACCTCCTCTTCAGAGAAAGGGATATCCAGAGCCTCCAGATCATACCTGGGTATGTCGACTGTCCAGATTAATTGTTCTGCTCCGATCACTGTCTTCCCCAATCAAGTTTGAGTAAAAATCAAAGATGGCAGCAGCTTTCTCTTCATGATTGGTGAGGATATTGTCCCCATCCTTCAGCTTGGCAATAAAGTTCTTCTTCTTTCTATGTCTTGCATGCCTGTGAAAAAGCCTTATGTTGGCGTCCCCTTTTTTCAGCCATCCAATTTGAGATCGCAGCCTTGCCACTGTCCTCAACAACGAGGTCAAGGCCAAGTCATGTTTCTTGAGGTTGTTACGCAACCATAATTCATTAGGCTGAAGGGTTCTGCTGTCCTGTGCAATATCAAACTGATGGATGATTTCTTTTGCGAGGGCCAGCTGAGAAGAAATATGGCCAATCTTCTTTTGGCTCCAACTTTGGAGGGCTCTAGCTATTGCTTTGAATTTCCGGGACAGCGTTTGCACAGGGCAGGGATGGGGCTGTACTGAACTCCGCGCTGTCGCAACCATCTCCAGGAACCCATCCAGGCTGGGCCAAAAAGATTCAAAATGAAACCGTCTCTTACTTGCAATACTGTTCCGCAGGCCAAGAATGAGAGGGCAATGGTATGAGTCATCTGAAGCCGAGCTCTGGAGAAGGCAGTCAGGAAACATCTCTTCCCAATCAAGGGAGCAGAACACCTGATCCAATTTCACGAACGTGGGAGAGGTCCTGGAGGGGGAGCTGGACCATGTGAACTTGCGCCCATGGAGAGGTAATTCAGTTACTGCCATATCATTAATCCTTCTGAATCTTCCCATCATAGCTCTGTTCAGATTGCTGTTATTTTTGTCTTCATCTTTGCTTCCTACCACGGCGTCGCCGTCGCCTGTGTTGCGTGCCGTGATCATCTGCAGCACCAGAGCTCTCCTCGCCGGGCGCGGACTCCATGACCTCCACCTTCCTCGCACCTGCTGCCTTCGGACGCCAGACGAGGAGACCCTGAGGAGCCGCCGAGATCGGAGCCTAACCCGACCGGCACAGCTGGACGCCAGGTGCCCTATCTGATGGCACTTGAAGCAGCGAGTCCCTACTTGGCAGATGGCGGCGCGGTGAGAAGGTTTAGGATGAACACTGACGTGTTCACTGCCTCACCCCAGAACGGCACCGGCATTTTCTTCGCCTTCATCATGCAGCGTGCCATGCCGGCAATGGTTTGATTCCACCGCTCCACCACTACTTCTGATGTGGTGAATACGGTGCCGAGAAGTGGTGCTCCACGCCTTGCTCCGTGTAGTATCGCTCGAACTCAACCGAGGTGAATTCACCACCACAATCGGTTCGCACTACCCACAGCTTCGCCTTGCTCTTGTTCTCCGCCCATGCCTTGAAGTGCTTGATGGCCTCGGGGCTTCATCCTTGACCAAAACAACAATGTCAAGCACATGTATAGGCTGTTGTCCCACGAGCAGGAGCATGTAGCGCCTTCCGCCGTGCGTTGCCGACATGATCGGGCCGCACAAGTTGCCATGGTCTAGCTAGAGCAGAACATCGGCAGTTCGGCATGGTAGCTTGCCTACTTTGGGAAGGGCAACCTCATCTGCTTCCGAGTGAGGCAGCTATCACACAGCTCGTCGATGTGCTTGACCGATGGCGGGTCAACGCACCATGTCTTGGCAAGCCATGCTCACAAGATCGTCAAAGCTCAGGTTCCCAAACTGGGCATGCCAGCGTCACCCCTTGTCCTTCCCCGCGCTGCAAGGCACATGGGCTGCACCACGCACAGATCAAGAAGGTATAGGCGATTCTTGGCCCAATTCAACTTGGCGAGAAGTCGTTGCTTGCAGACGCGGATGTGCAAGATGTCGTGCTTGATCAGCACTTCGCATCCATGCTCATCGAGCTGGCCGATACTGATGGAGGAAACCGCAGGATGAGGCAAAACACAGGGCATCACTACGGGAGGGCCCTCCCCTACTCCCTGATCCTAGCAGACCAGAGCCCCACTGTCGGGGTCATGAGGGCCAAAAAAAACAGGCCCGCTCTCCCGACTGCCAACCACAGAATGAGAGGGCTACTAGACTTCCAATAGCTGGCCAAAACCCCCACCAGAGGAGAGAGGCATAGCACAGGCATGGCCGCATCGGAAGGAGCAGGGGTCAACGGGGTGCCCGCTAGTATATCATTGCCCCATGGCACACGTTAGCAGCAATTGGCCTAAATTGTAACAATGGACCTGTTTTCTGGCAGGGCCATTTACCTGAATATGTTGTTCTAGTGTCCACCGAGTTTGCTGTTAAAGTGATTAAATGGGTATTTGACTTAAAAAATGTAAGGAAGTTAAAGGTGTGCAGATGAGTGTATTCCTAACATTTCATTTAAGTACTGCTTGTGACACTCAATTCACTTCATATCATCCCCCCCCACACACACACACATACTATTGAAATGAAAACAAATAAATATCATGTGTTCTGAGTCTTACTTTTTCCGTCCTGTGAAAGCACGGGTAATATCATCAGGAGTTGGCTTGTTCGTGAATTCAGCTATAAGAATATAGTTCTCTTTCCCATTGAGCTCGTCAACCCTTCGATAAATCTCATATTTATTTGGATAAGACATCCTGAAACAATAAGCTAATATAAATTGTAATCGTTGAAACAAAACAGAAGCAGTAGCAAGACAGTATGCTATTTGGAAGAATAAAAGTTGGCTATACAAACCTTAAAGCTCCCATAATAGGATAGAATGAACCAGCATAGTAGAGAAGCCGAAATGAATAGCACGTCTCGAATGATGCAGCATACTTGAGCCTAATATCCCTTCCCATTGTCTGATCATCACAAATTAAGAATAGTCAATACTGGCAGCTAAGGTAAGATTAACATTAAGTTAAAAAATAACTTACTTGCATCACACCACTTGATCCAGGCATATCCTGGAAATGCAAATTTGGGAACATAATTAGCACCCAGTAATGATGTAGTACTATTTTTTTATACATTAGAGAGGCAAGCCTTTATGTATAATCCAGAAATATGGGACTTTGAACCACTAAGATTGGAAACTGAGAAAACATAAATGTTACTCCCTCCTTTATAAGACATAATCTGCTGCTCCCCAAATCTCTCTTCTCTGCAGATTAGGAGTTGGAGCTGGTCAGCTCGGCAGTCTACTCCTGGTTGCTGTAGAGTGTAAGGCAATAGGCCATCTAGTACTAGTAGTTGGTAGAAACTACATCAGCCATGTTGGTAGTGGGCTGATCTAAGCAAGGTACTTGTGGTACTAGGAGTACTTGGGGCTGTACTCAGCCATACTCATGTGTACCTTATAGTTGGTACATGAGTTGGATATATACCACACCTAAGGCAATGCAAAAGGGCAGTTCAGTTGCCACATTCAGAGTTCAGAGCTGCTGGTTGCAGCTCGGCAGTGTGTGTGTGTGTGCTGTGTTCACCCCTTCTACCTCAAGCCAAAGTGAGTGTGTGGATGTGCTGGTAAGCTAATTGCTTACCTGTGCAGGGATCCCAGGGACCAACATCCTTTTCTTTTTGTAAGTAGTTTGATCTGGTACAGCCTCCAGCGTCACATTTTTTCCTTAATGAAATGATACAGAATTCTCTCGTGTGTTCAAGAAAGAAATGTCACATGTGACCACTACTATGACGTTCACAACAAATTAAAGTTTTTCAGATATGAATCCAGTGAAATCAAATTTGTATGGTATAATCTACAAATTCTTAGTGTTAGTCAGAGATATTTGTTTGAATCTTGGGTTCGGTGCTCTTACAAAAAGAAAAAGGAGTATAGAAGAAAGAGTCTTGATGATTTTTTATTTACGTCTATGTTAAGATGATTAGCAATTCCAAGATGAGTATGCTTGAAAGAGATAGAATTTTAGCTCAGTTTCATCTGATGAATGTATCTTACATACTACACAATAATTCAACAATGAGGCTCTCTCAGGATTAGTTATTTTCAGAACTGCTACCTCCAATATCCAACCAAACAGGCACACTTGGGCAGTTAAGATTTCTTCAGACTAAGCACGATAGCAACGTAATAGAGGGACACCATTAAAGCAAAAAATCAAATAAGTTTATTTGGAAAAAACCTTTAGGCGAGGATTTACAAGAATCACAGGTCTGTCACCAGCAGCATCAGTCATAGCTCTCATATCCTGCATTTTTTTTTAAAATGACAATGAAGATCAAGGAGGTGAATATTATACAAGTATTTAAAATAAACAAGAGATATAGAAGAATAGAAGATTTACATCAATTATGCAGTTTCCAACAGCATTTTGCGGAGCAATGAGGACAAACATATCATCTTCTTTGTCAACCTCCTTAGCACCTATAGTTTCAGTAAAAACATTATGGTATTAAAAAAATTAGGATTCCCAAACAGACAAAAGATGCGATGAAAGGAACAAGAAATGTGTATATCCTATGATATCTTTTGAGCAACAATTTAGTACCTAGAAGAATCAACTGTACAAAAAAGGTTAATTATAATAATAATATTAATTTCAACACAAGGTGCAATGGGTGATGATTCAATCTAAAAACAAGAACGTGCATTGCACGTATTTCATTAAGAGAAGGGGAAGCGCAACAACGCATCCAAAAGTACAAAGGAACAAGTCCGCTGCTCAAACCCAGTCACAAGAACAATGAGATAACCAATTTGGCTTTGGCTTGAGAAAACCAATTCCTCTCGTCCTTGGCTAGTTTACCTCTTCAGGTGCCACAAAATGCTCCGACCCTTTTCAGCATGGAGGTCAAATTTCAGCACGGCGGTCGAATTTCAGCATGGCGGTCGAAACTTTTGTTGGTGATGGGCAAAATACAGTGTTCTGGACAGATCGATGGCTGAGTGCGTAAAGGCGTCAACTCCTTGATAATCTTGGTGGCGTGGGAGATATGGAAGCATCGCAACTCTTGTGTCTTTGACAACAAGAGGCCGAACATTCAGGAGGTCATCAGGGCTGTTAGCTCGGAGGGGGGATTCTGGTGCTCGGCTGGAGCCTCCAAACTCCAGGAACTTGTTCTCAGGTCGCTGCCTGCTGGAGCTTAAAGCTCGGAGGCATTTGGTCGTTTCTGCAGTCTTTGTGGCGAGTCTGTAATTTCCAAGGGGTGGTGTGTGTGTGTGAGTTGGGTCTCTTTGACCCGTGTAACATTTTTTTCTACCTAAATGAAATAACGCACAGTTCTCCTGCGCTGTTCGAGAAAAAGAAAGTGCAAAACCCATGCCTAAGACTGTTCAGTCGCCAAAGCCCTGGTTGCCCATAGTTGAGTATCTGACTGTTAGAATGTAATTATAACAGCCCATATTAGGCATATGGCCCATTGGCCTATGTACATTGTAACCCTAGCCTATTAGGCTATATAATGAAGGCCACCCCCCCCTGATTAGGGTGTGCGGTGTTGTTCTACATGGTATCACGAGTTCTGGGGGCCTGATCCCGGGCTTTCTCCTTTCCTTTTCCGCTGCCCGTGTGCCCTTCCTCGAGGCCACGCGCCACCGCACCACAGGGCTGCCGCCGCCGCCGCCTGCGCCCCTCCGGCCCCATTGCCCGCTTAGCCCGCTCCGCTGCCCGCTGCCGCCTCGCAGGCGATTCATCATCGCGTCTTTCGAGCCAGCGCCGCTATTTCTTGCTTTTCAACGCCTATGCCGCACGACTGAGCCGCCGCCTCTCTCCCGCGCGACGCGAAGTCGCGCCAAGACAAAGTTGCGCCCACCAGCGCCTAGCGCTTCTAGCGAGCGAGCAGGCGCAGCGTCGACTTCGTCATGGCGTCCTCGACGACTTCCTCTGCTACCTCCGGTGTTCTTGGCTCCGGAACCTCCGACGCCATGGGGGCGGATCGCGCTTCGCCTTCTACGCGCCTTGCGCCAACGTCAACGCGTCAAGCGTCCGTCGATCGCCCTCAGCCTCGAGCACCCCAATTACTCCAAGTGGAAGGCGTTCTTCACGCCCTCTGCGCCAAGTACGGGCTGCTCGGCCACATCGATGGCACGGAGGCTGCGCCGGCTGACCCCACGTGGTCTCAGCCCGACGCTTGCATCCGTGGCTGGATGTACGGCTCCTGCGACGACACCGTCCTCGACCTCGCCATGGAGCCTGATCAAGACGCGCGTGCCCTGTACGTCTCCATCGAGGCCCTGTTCCAGGCGAACAAGGAGCCTCGCGCTGTCGTCCTCGGGCAGGAGTTCCACAGCATGCTACAGGGTGATCTCTCGGTCGATGCCTACGCCCAGCAGATGAAGCATACTGCTGACGCCCTGCGGGAGGTTGGTCACACCATCTCTCCCACGCAGCTTGTGCTCAACCTCCTGCGCGGCATCAATCCTCGCTTCGCCACCACCGCCGACATCATCGCCAACACGTCGCCGCTCCCGGACTTCACGGCTGCCACCAACATGCTCCGTGTCAAGGAGCTTCGCCTCGCCTCGAGGGCAAGGAGGCTTCGGATCGCGACTCGTCGCCTCCTCCACCTCTCTCTTGCACTTCGCCGCCATCCCGCCGCCCACTCCCCCGCGCCATCCAACCGTGGGGGTGGTGGTGGAAAGAAAAAGGGGGGCAAGGAAGGCGTGGCGGCGCAACGGCAACAACGGAGGCGGCGCGAGGCGCAAGAAGAACATGGCGCCCACCGAGCGCTCCAGCGGACGTCGAGCTCCTCACCGGCCGATCCTTGGTCTGCTATAACCCTTGGGCCGTCCAAAGATGGCCTCCTCTCAGCGGAAGTGGGCGCGCCATCCGCGCCTCCTCCACCGCCGCGCCCCCCAGAAGACATCGCCTTTCGCAGGCCGCCCGAGACTCCACCACGTCGCCAGGTACGGCACGGCTCACAGACGCGCGACCGACCGATTGCCGCCCTCAATCGGATGGCGAAGATCGGGTCTTCCCACAGGTCATGGACGGTGGGCGACATCCCACATGTCCTCCAACGACGGTATATACTTCTTTCCGTCTCCCGTCACTACCGTCCTCCATTACGGTTGGTAACGGGCAATCTATTCTGTCTTTAGTCGTGGCACATCTTCCTTACAAATAGTGATCGTTCCTTTCATCTTGATAATGTTCTTGTCGCTCGCAACTCACCTATAAACGTTTATTATCTCGTTCGACGACTTACTCGCGACAATAATTGTTCAATTGAGTTTGACGCCTCTGGTTTTTTCATTAAGGATCTCAAGACCAAGAGACAGTCCTCCTTGATTGCAATAGCCATGGGGACCTCTACACCATTCCACATGGCATGCCACCTCATTATCCATCGTCGTTGTTGTCTCTCCCGAGTGTGGCACTCCGCCCTTGGTCATCCCGCCCCTTCTTTGTCGTCGCTACTCTAAATAAGCTATCACCTATCCGATTGTAATAAAGCAGCTTCGCCAAGCATTTGTCATGCTTGCCCATTTCGGTAAACATGCTAGGTCGCCTTTTGCTAGTTCGGTCTCTAGTACATCACACCTTTTGAACTTGTTCATTGTGATGTTTGGACCTCTCCGATTATGTAGTATTTACGGTTATAAATTTTATCTTGTGTTAGTTGATGCTTATACACATTATTCTTTGGCGTTCCCTCTTTTGTCATAAGTCGAAGTTCATGAACACATTGTTCAATTTGTTGCTTATGCTCACACACACGCTTTAGTTTTTCTTTGTCATTTGTTTTCAGGCGAGATAATGGCACCGAAGTTCCTCAACAATGCCACCGCCACCTTCTTGGCTGGCCGCGGCATTCTCCTTCGCACCTCGTGCCCCTACACATCCGCTCAGAATGGCACGGCTGAGCGCATGCTCCGGACTCTGAACAAATGGTGTTCGCATGCTTCTGATTCATGCCGCCATGCCTCCATCCTATTGGATCGAACTCCTCCACCACAAGATGCCAGACTACTCCATCCTCAGGGTTTTTGGCTGCCTATGCTACCCCAACCTTAGTGCCACGACTCGCCACAAATTGTCTCCTCGCTCCACGGCATGTGTCTTCCTCGGTTACCCTACATCACAGGAGGGTTACCGGTGTCTTGACCTCTCCACTCGCAAGATCATCATCTCGCGACACGTCGTTTTTGATGAGACTCACTTTCCGTTTGCGGCCTCCAAGCCTCGACCGGATTCTCTTGATTTTTTGTTACAGGACTTACTTCCCGCGCCTGCTCCGTCTACCTCAGACGTTCGGCACTCGCGGACCTCGGTGGCGCTTTGCCTCTGCAGCTCGAGCAGACGAGCTGGCGATGCCGGCGATCCCGTCGGACTCGACCCGCCATCCTGTGGCATGGCGCGGCGCTCACGGCTGCGCCTCGGCTCCTCGGCAGTCATGGCTCCAAGACCTCCTCCGCGGCCAGTGTTGTCGCTTTGCCCGCCCCGGCGGCGGTTCGGCATCCACTACGATCGTCGTTCAGCTCGCCGCCCGGCTCCCACGACCTCCGCCGCCGGCTCCACATCCGCCGCCCGGCGGCATTCTTCGGCCCCATCGCTGCAGCGGCGGTGCGCCCCCAGCTCCCAAAGACCGCGAGAGCCTCTGCATGGCGACCCGTTCCCGAGACGGGTTCCCGCCGCCGCCCATGCGCCGATCACGGCTTCACCGCGGCGGCCTCGGCCCGCTTCTCCGTTGCGAGCAACTCTCGCGCGCTTCGCCGCGAATTGGCGGGCGGCGATGGCTGAAGAATACAAGGCGCTCATGGACAATGGCACCTGGCGTCTCGTTCCTCGACCACCTCGAGCCAACGTCATCACCGACAAGTGGGTCTTCAAGCACAAGTATCATGCTGATGGCTCTCTGGCTCGTCATAAAGCCAGATGGGTCGTTCGTGGGTTCTCGCGGCGAAGACGACATCGACTACGACGAGACGTTCGTTGATCCGGTTGTCAAACCGCCACCATCCGGTCGTCCTCAAGATCGCCACTTCTCGTTCCTGGCCGATCCATCACCGGACGTGAAGAACGCCTTCCTCCACGGCCATTTGAACAAGGCGGTCTCATCGTCCGCCGACCGCCCGGCCCGTCGACCGGCAGCTCCGACCATGTTTGCCTCCCCGCAAAAGTCCTTATACGGACTCAAGCAGGTGCCTGTGGCGTGGCACCCGGCGGTTCTCCGGTTTCATCCGGTGGTCCGGCTTCACGGCTTTTGGCCTCGTCGTCCCTCTTTGTTTACACAGTGGGATCTGACATCGCCTACTTGCTACTTTACGTCGACGACATCGTCCTGACAGCCTCGTCGACCTCGCTTCTTCGACGCCTCACCGAGCTTCTTCACTCCGAGTTCGCCATGACAGATCTCGGGGATCTTCATCACTTCCTCGGGATCTCATCACGCGTTACTGGCGATGGCCTCTTCTGTCTCGGC